ATTGGCTCCTGACAAAGTAGCATAATCAAGAAAAGAAGTATAAGTAGTCAATCAACATCTTAATCAATCTACAAGCAACACTATCATCAAGCAGACTTTCAACTTTTGGGGTATCGTTCTACTAACAACATCATTCCACAAGAGTACATCTAATCCAGCATCATGCTGTTGTTATTCATGATACATCTTGTTGATGTTTTATTCGTCTTTGGAAGTCCATTAAAAAATGGTGAGAATGAAATATTTGATAATACGTTAATTAATAATAATCATTTTATTCAATTCAAAGTGAAATTACATTTATTGCTTTATTTGTTTTGGTTAAAAAAATTTCGATTTATCCAGAATATGCAGACAACGGTTGTTCCCCGTCCATAAGATATAAAGACGACAATCCTAATGGACTACAACCATTGGTTCTAACACGAGATGCTACTGTATCGAAAATACTTTATCCTCAAAAAAATAGAATGTTAAAAGTGCAAACAGGTCAATCAATTTATTTGGAATGTCCTGGTGACAAAAATTTTGTTAGACCAAATACAAATCTCAAGGAAGTTAAAGCTACTTGCGTAGGGAATAATATGTTTAACGTTAATGGTGAAAATAAAAATTTCTCTGCTATAACGTGTAGTTATGTACCAGAGGACATAGCAAGGCGTACAAATTCATGGTGTTACGACAACAAAAGTACTTACGTTGAAATTGGTTTCAACTTGACTACCAATTTTCTTCCTTTAATTAAACTATGTTACAATGAAGAAACCTACATTACTTACTATGCGAAATTTAGGATGACGAAATGGATCGGTGAAACGCAAAAATGTTGTACGAGGTAAGCGACTAGTAACAATTTTATTTGCAAATAGAAAACACACATACACACACAATTAATTATATGCGGGTTAACGTTATAATGTACAACACACGTGAATATCTAGCAGGCGAAATAGAAATGGGAACGATAAACGATAGGAACACGTTAAAGGTCTGTAAATGTTTCCCTTTCGGAATATTTTATTCGCGTTAAACGTAAATAAACGACGAAGAGAGAATATTTACTCGAAGTAGGGAGAAAGAAACTCAGGAAAAAGATTATAAAATTTGATTTAACCGTCTGTCACATTTTCCTTTTGGTAATTTCATCGATAATTATTGATAATCTTGTTTTCTAGAAGGCAATTTGTGAAAGGAGATTTTTTTGGAAACATAAATATAAACAACCAATACCAAATCACAACTCAACGTGACACACTCACGATACTATTGAATTCAAGAGAATGGGTTGAGTCCAATATAAATACATCACAGTGTCTGACACGTGGACATTTGGTGGCAATGAATTATTTCGTTTACAATTCAATGCAATTGTCGACTTTTTGGTTTATAAATACTGCACCTCAATGGTCTTCTTTCAATTCTGGCAACTGGAACATACTCGAAAATAATGTCAGAGCTTTAGCATCTAATCGTTCTTTAGATCTCGATGTTTATATTGGTGTACACGGTCAAATGACTTTGCCGAATTTTAATAAGACAGAGACACCTATATATCTCTACGTCAATGGCACAACCAAAGCACTTCCCGTTCCCAAGTTCTTTTGGAAAATAATCTACGATCCACAAAGTAAGAAGGGTACTGCATTCGTTGGTTTGAATCATCCCTTTATCAAGTCGATCACAAAAGATATTTACATATGCAACGATATCAGTTCGACGATCAATTGGCTCACCTGGGAACCTAGGAATATCAGAAAAGGTATCTCTTATGCGTGTACCGTCGAAGATCTACGTAGAGCAGTACCAACTATTCCTAAATTGACAACGTCCGGTGTTTTAACCTAAGAATCGATACGAATAATTTCAAAATATATGAAACATTAAAGAGGTAATATCTACTCTATTAGAGTTACGTTCGATTATTTCCTTTGATCTTTGACACGTGCCGACTACTTCCTATGTTAACATGCTAACGTCTTACAAATCTAATTCCCCTCCAATGTTATTATTAATTACATAAATTTTGAATAAAACTGTAAATAAATTTATATTCTATATATAATACATATATTATAGCATGCATCGTGTCTTATAATTATTTTGAACATAAAGGGTAATAAACAGTTGATTCACACAACTGATATCGTAGCTAAGTTTGTAATTTAAAAGTTTCCTCAATTATTATCCTTCATACGAAGAAGACGTACAGTTTAATGTGTGTTAATTGTACGGTCAATTAATTGCTATGACGTATTTAACGAATTACATATATCTTCTTAGTATATATAAATTACGTGTCACGTTGTTTGTCCGTTATGGACTCCTAAACTACTGAACCGATTTTAATAAAATTTTGCACATTTTGTGCAGTCTCATTCAACTTAAACGATAGGATAGTTTATATCTCAATTTATTGCAAATTATTTGTTTAGTAACAAAGAGTCATGATTGTCTCTGTTAGCTCGATAAGATTCTAACAGATGTCGGTATAAGGTAATTCGTGTGTATCAGACTAATTGTGAGCCACAGCAACGCGTGGCGGGGCATCCCAAGTATTTATATATATATATTGTATAAACATATATAAATATTAAATAGTACATACATATACTATAAATATTATATTTATAATAATTATTTTTATTAAAATTACATAATAATAAAATTAAATAATATATGTGCATACGTTTATTACATAATAATTATATAATATATATATGTATATATACGTTTATTATAACTGTATTACTTATCGATATTATGTGTTATTTCAAAAAATCTAATATTAACTCAATCAACGTGATTAATTTTTATCTTTACGCTATAAGAAATTAAAAACAAAAAATCTATCGAGAATTGATAAGACATCTGTTATTTTTGTAACTAAAACATATTTTGATCGTAAATTTAAAATTAAAAGCAGAAAAAAACGATAGTCAAGCACGTGTTAACAAATTTCTTATCGATATTCATTCATTGTGTATTATTGTCAATAATAAAAAATGAATAAAAATCATCTATTGTACTGTTACAAATGAAAATTACTTCTAATTAATATAAAAATAGTTTCACACACACACACATTATAATTAATTAACATTTAATTTATCAATGTATTCGATTCTTACGAATACATTGTAAGAATAATTTACTGTCATCTATAATTAATATCTCACACAACTGTACAAACTGACAGTAAATAACAATAATAATAATTATTAAACATTAGTGAACAGTACAAAAAAGGAGAGACTCACAATCGTGACAACCGATAAGAGTATGGTTGTGTACCGTTTTACAATAAGCAGTACTGTAAAAACGTCATTCAAAGATTCAGAGCAATATTCTAAACTATTATCAAGGGTCATAAAGTTGCCAAATTAATCTAAATGGTCCGGTTTCTCCAAGTGATTTCAGATTGCAAGTGAGCAATGTGATAAAAAGTAGGCACATGTGATACAAAGAGGAAAAGATATTCCTTATTCGAAGAAAAAAGTTCATTTGTTCTGAACTTTCTGGTTTTGGTCGATAAACTTAAAAGAAGAGATTACGAAGACAGATATTTTGCCTATATAAGTTCTCAAAAACTAGCATTATTTCCATTCGTATCGTTGCTATCATCTCGGAATAAGCAACATAATAACGAAGAACATCATTGGCTCCTGACAAAGTAGCATAATCAAGAAAAGAAGTATAAGTAGTCAATCAACATCTTAATCAATCTACAAGCAACACTATCATCAAGCAGACTTTCAACTTTTGGGGTATCGTTCTACTAACAACATCATTCCACAAGAGTACATCTAATCCAGCATCATGCTGTTGTTATTCATGATACATCTTGTTGATGTTTTATTCGTCTTTGGAAGTCCATTAAAAAATGGTGAGAATGAAATATTTGATAATACGTTAATTAATAATAATCATTTTATTCAATTCAAAGTGAAATTACATTTATTGCTTTATTTGTTTTGGTTAAAAAAATTTCGATTTATCCAGAATATGCAGACAACGGTTGTTCCCCGTCCATAAGATATAAAGACGACAATCCTAATGGACTACAACCATTGGTTCTAACACGAGATGCTACTGTATCGAAAATACTTTATCCTCAAAAAAATAGAATGTTAAAAGTGCAAACAGGTCAATCAATTTATTTGGAATGTCCTGGTGACAAAAATTTTGTTAGACCAAATACAAATCTCAAGGAAGTTAAAGCTACTTGCGTAGGGAATAATATGTTTAACGTTAATGGTGAAAATAAAAATTTCTCTGCTATAACGTGTAGTTATGTACCAGAGGACATAGCAAGGCGTACAAATTCATGGTGTTACGACAACAAAAGTACTTACGTTGAAATTGGTTTCAACTTGACTACCAATTTTCTTCCTTTAATTAAACTATGTTACAATGAAGAAACCTACATTACTTACTATGCGAAATTTAGGATGACGAAATGGATCGGTGAAACGCAAAAATGTTGTACGAGGTAAGCGACTAGTAACAATTTTATTTGCAAATAGAAAACACACATACACACACAATTAATTATATGCGGGTTAACGTTATAATGTACAACACACGTGAATATCTAGCAGGCGAAATAGAAATGGGAACGATAAACGATAGGAACACGTTAAAGGTCTGTAAATGTTTCCCTTTCGGAATATTTTATTCGCGTTAAACGTAAATAAACGACGAAGAGAGAATATTTACTCGAAGTAGGGAGAAAGAAACTCAGGAAAAAGATTATAAAATTTGATTTAACCGTCTGTCACATTTTCCTTTTGGTAATTTCATCGATAATTATTGATAATCTTGTTTTCTAGAAGGCAATTTGTGAAAGGAGATTTTTTTGGAAACATAAATATAAACAACCAATACCAAATCACAACTCAACGTGACACACTCACGATACTATTGAATTCAAGAGAATGGGTTGAGTCCAATATAAATACATCACAGTGTCTGACACGTGGACATTTGGTGGCAATGAATTATTTCGTTTACAATTCAATGCAATTGTCGACTTTTTGGTTTATAAATACTGCACCTCAATGGTCTTCTTTCAATTCTGGCAACTGGAACATACTCGAAAATAATGTCAGAGCTTTAGCATCTAATCGTTCTTTAGATCTCGATGTTTATATTGGTGTACACGGTCAAATGACTTTGCCGAATTTTAATAAGACAGAGACACCTATATATCTCTACGTCAATGGCACAACCAAAGCACTTCCCGTTCCCAAGTTCTTTTGGAAAATAATCTACGATCCACAAAGTAAGAAGGGTACTGCATTCGTTGGTTTGAATCATCCCTTTATCAAGTCGATCACAAAAGATATTTACATATGCAACGATATCAGTTCGACGATCAATTGGCTCACCTGGGAACCTAGGAATATCAGAAAAGGTATCTCTTATGCGTGTACCGTCGAAGATCTACGTAGAGCAGTACCAACTATTCCTAAATTGACAACGTCCGGTGTTTTAACCTAAGAATCGATACGAATAATTTCAAAATATATGAAACATTAAAGAGGTAATATCTACTCTATTAGAGTTACGTTCGATTATTTCCTTTGATCTTTGACACGTGCCGACTACTTCCTATGTTAACATGCTAACGTCTTACAAATCTAATTCCCCTCCAATGTTATTATTAATTACATAAATTTTGAATAAAACTGTAAATAAATTTATATTCTATATATAATACATATATTATAGCATGCATCGTGTCTTATAATTATTTTGAACATAAAGGGTAATAAACAGTTGATTCACACAACTGATATCGTAGCTAAGTTTGTAATTTAAAAGTTTCCTCAATTATTATCGTTCATACGAAAAAGACATACAATGTGATGTGTGTTAATTGTACCGTCAATTAATTGCTATGACTTATTTAACGAATTACATATATATATATATTAATTAATAAATTTTTAAACAATAATTGAGTGTACTAGAAATAGCAATTAATTCTGCGAGTTGTTTGCTCGAGGTGGAAAAAAATGACGACACCTGAGGTAACAAAACATAAAAGAAAAGAAAAAAATAATACAAAAACAACATCATTCATAATTAGTTTCTTTCTATCTACGAAATAATTATAACCTTTCTATTGACGTTAGGTCTTTATCAACGGTTTGCTTCGTTGCATGCTTGGCAGCTCACCAAAGCATGCTAACAGAAAAGTAACTATGCGTCGTTGTTGTTAGTCGTCTTTTGCGATAAAGAGTTATTAACGAGATGAACCGATTGGCAAGTTTGTATAACGATACCGCGATAATGCTTTCTCGAGCCAAAGATGAGCTTCTTCTATTCTCTAGACTGTACAGGGTATACCGGATAAACGAGACGTTTCGTATTGACGTCAGAAGAAATCGATTTGTTACGTCGAAAGCTGAAAAAGCTTCGCTACTACGCTTGCTTCGAACGTTTCGATAGTATATATATATATATATTAAAGTTACGTATTACTTTTAAATACGCAAGATCATGCATGATGAACTATGATCGTAGAAGAAATTAAAAAAGAAAAAAGAAATAATCAAGAAAATAGAACGATCTTGATAACGTGTTCTCTATTCTTAAAGAATACTAAAAATCCGATGTGAAAGATAGCCTTATATAGTGCAATTAAGTTCAAGGACAAATTCCACGAGAAAGTATTTGCCCTGAGTTTTGAAGAACGCGTATCTCTGTATGACCCTTTGCAAGAATTACCAAGAAGACCAGTGAGAAAGAGAGAAAGATAGAGGGGTAAAGAGAAGAAAAGTAGGACGAGCATCGTAAAAGCTGTACATGCTTACCCGTACCTCGTTTTATACGTGTCGACATTGAGATCTTACCTCGTCACTATTACAATCCTCGGATTTTCTAGGATTCTCTATTTCTATCTCTATCTCTCTCTCTTTCTCTCATTTGTTCTTCTTCTATCTCTCGATTTGGAATTTATCACGGAGAAACGTGAGGAAATTTCATTTCGATAATTTCGTTACCGATTAGCTTTCCACCATCGATCTACCTTCCAACTTTCTTCATTCCTACATTATCTATATCTTATATATATATATATATATATATATATAT